ATTCTCCTGCCTCAGCCTCCCGAGTAGCTGGGATTACAGGGGCCTGCCACCATGCCCAGCTAATTTTTGCATTTCTAGTGGAGATGGGGTTTCACCATATTGGCCAGGTTGGTCTCAAACTTCCGACCTCAGGTGATCCGCCCACCTCAGCCTCCCAAAGTGCTGGGATTACAGGCGTGAGCCACCACGCCCAGCCACTTTAAGGAGTATTTCAAAAAGCTTCTCAGTTCCAAGGGACTGAGCAACAGCTGCCCTTAGCAGGGGCTTGTTCAATAATACATCCTTATAGTGGCTCTCCATCTTTCCCTAAATGGGATCATTTCCTACTCCCTAACAAGGTATCTGCACATAAGCTTCAGGCTCTGCTTTCTGGAATCCAAGGCTAAGATGGTTATCCATGTTCAGATTATAGTAAGTGGAACAAACCTAACCCAAACACCACTATAAAAAGAATACAGCTTAGGCAATATGGCAAAACCCCATCTCTACCAAAAAACAAAAGAAATTAGCTGGGCATGGTGGTGCAAGCCTGCAGTCCCAACCACTCAGGAGGCTAAGGCAGAGGATCCTCTGTTGCCCAGGCTGGAGTGCAGTGGCACAGTCACAGTTCAGGATGGGATCATGCCACTGCACTCCAGCCTGGGCAAAAGAGCAAGACCCTGTCTCAAATAATAATAATAATAATAATAATAATAATAATAATATAGTTTATTGTGCCTGGGTTGCCAACACTTACAGAAAGAACAAACCTGTTGAGTCTTTAAGTTTATGGAGCATTTAAAAACATTTCCAGGTGGCGCACAGTGGCTCACACCTGTAATCCTAGCACTCTGGGAGGCCGAGGTAGGTGGATCACTTGAGGTCAGGAATTCAAGACTAGCCTGGCCAACATGGAGAAAGCCCGTTTCTACTAAAAATACAAAGAAGTAGCCTGGTGTGGTGTTGTGCACCTGTAGTCCCAGCTACCCAGGAGGCTGAAGCATGAGAACTGCTTAAACCCAGGAGGTGGAGGTTGCAGTGAGCAGTGAGCACCACTGCTCTCCAACCTGGGCAACAGGGTGAAACTTTGTCTCAAAAAAAAAAAAAAGAAAGAAAGAAAGAAAAAGGCCGGGCTCAGTGGCTCACGCCTGTAATCCCAGGACTTCGGGAGGCCGAGGTGGGCGAATCACGAGGTAAAGTGTTTGAGACCAGCCTGGCCAACATGGTGAAACCCCATCTCTACTAAAAACACAAAAACTTAGCTGGGCGTGGTGACAGGCGCCTATAATCCCAGTTACTCGGGAGGATGAGGCAGGAGAATCGCTTGAACCTGGGAGGTGGAGGTTGCAGAGTGAGTCGAGATCATACCACCGCACTCCAGCCTGGGCAACAGGGCAAGACACTGTCTCAAAAAAAAAAAAAAAAAAAAAAAAAAATCCAAAACCTTTTCACAGTGATACTCCTATACTGACCCTGTGAGGTCATATAACTAAACTCAAGAATTTTTTGTTGATTTTTTTTTTTTTTGAGATGGAGTTTCGCTCTTGTTGCCCGGGCTGGAGTGCAATGGCACGATCTTGGCTCACCGCAACCTCTGCCTTGTGAGTTCAAGTGATTCTCCTGCCTCAGCCTCCCAAGTAGCTGGGATTACAGGCATGCGCCACCACGCCCCGCTAATTTTGTATTTTTAGTAGAGACGGGGTTTCACCATGTTGGTCAGGCTGGTCTCGAACTCCCGACCTCAGGTAATCTGCCCACCTTGGCCTCCCAAAGTGCTGGGATTACAGGCATGAGCCACTGTGCCTGGCTCTTTGCCCATTTTAAAAATTGGATTTTTTTTTTTTTTTTTTGTGATGGAGTCTCGCTCTGTTGCCAAGGCTAGAGTGCAATGGCATGATCTCGGCTCATTGCACCCTCTACCTCCTGGGTTCAAGCAATTCTCCTGCCTCAGCCTCCCGAGTAGCTGGGATTACAGGCATGCGCCACCACGCCCCGCTAATTTTGTATTTTTAGTAGAGACGGGGTTTCACCATGTTGGTCAGGCTGGTCTCGAACTCCCGACCTCAGGTAATCTGCCCACCTTGGCCTCCCAAAGTGCTGGGATTACAGGCATGAGCCACTGTGCCTGGCTCTTTGCCCATTTTAAAAATTGGATTTTTTTTTTTTTTTTTTGTGATGGAGTCTCGCTCTGTTGCCAAGGCTAGAGTGCAATGGCATGATCTCGGCTCATTGCACCCTCTACCTCCTGGGTTCAAGCAATTCTCCTGCCTCAGCCTCCCAAGTAGCTGGGATTACAGGCATGCGCCACCACGCCCCGCTAATTTTGTATTTTTAGTAGAGACGGGGTTTCACCATGTTGGTCAGGCTGGTCTCGAACTCCCGACCTCAGGTAATCCGCCCACCTCAGCCTCCCAAAGTGCTTGGATTACAGGCATGAGCCACCACGCCCAGCCCCTAAACTCAAGTTTTAAAAGAGGAAACTGAGGCTCAAAGAAGTTTACTGACTTGTCCTGATTAATGCACCTACTAGGTGCTATGGCTTTAAGATTCACATCCTGGTCTTCTAAGTCTGAAATCTCTGTACTGTTTTCCAGTGTGATGAGCTATCCCATGGGACCTTAGGAGCTACTGTGCTGGCATCCAAAAATGGCTCAACTAAAGCCACTTTCACCTTTTATTTGTAATTTAATCCAAATACACTGAACAGCAGGGAAGGAATAGTCTGAATGGTCTGAAACAGTCTGGGAAAAGTGCTGAGAGGCTACATTTTGCTTCAGGTCTGAGCTGGGACGTCAGCATAGCCTCAGTCGCTGTGGAGGTGAAGGGCTCCAGCACTGAGAGCCCGGAACTCCAGCCACATGTCGGCACCTAGGCCTCCTTGGAGCTCTAGCTCCTGCCATTGTCAGCCGCAGATGCCTTGGGTAGGGAAATATAAGGACTCTTTCCCTCCCTATTCTTGATGACCACAAGGGGGAACCTTCCATCTGGCAGTTATGGGCCCTGAGGGAATCTGAGCCTGGGCAAAGGGCCCAGCGTGTCAGTTCCCATCACAGCCACACTGTCCAGCATGAGTCACCACACACGCAGCCAGGTGAGTCATACAGGCTGACGGACACTGAGGACAGGACGAGAGGTGGTTGGGCACCGGAGACTGGAGAGGGGCCCAGGGAAGGGCCAAAGAATCCATATCCTGGCCATTCATGGAGTTAACTTTCTGTGCTGATGTAGGGCTATTCTGGTTACAGGATCCCTGTTCCACTCTGGCTTTCAGTAGCCCCCAATCCCTTCCAACAGTCATCTTCTTAGAAGCCCAGTCATCACTAGAATCCTGTTCCCCTCCTCTAAACATGGGCAAGACCTCATCTTAATGTGATCACTCTTTGTACCCCAAATGTTCTAAGGCCTTCTGTCATTCCCCCTATAAGACTTACTTATCTTCGTGCCATCCTCTTACATTAGTTAACTTGCAAAATGAAGATGGTAACAAATGCAGGTAGGTCACTGCATTACCTCTGTGAGGTTAGTACTCAATCACTGCATTTGGAGTGACTGGTATCTGATCACTCCAAATGGATCAGGATGGAGTGATCAGATACCAATATACTAACCTTGGTTAGTATATTGTTTGGAGATACATATTTAGGCAGTAAATGATAAGAAAAGCAAATGAATGATATAAACAAAACTCTGGAAATTTTGGGTGAATTAGGAAGAGGCACTCAAGAGGTCTCAAAGCTGATTACTGACACAGGAGTGTTCAGTATTAATGCCATTTAAACTGTACATACACGTCTTAATCATTCTTTTGCATGTTTCACAATAAAAAATACCACAAAAAACTGGGGTAAGAGTCTTGATTCAGCACTTATTAGGTGTGATCTAATATGGACTCAAGTAACCCTCCTAACTCACACACCTTTGTTGGGGCCCTATGCCATAATGTATATGAAAGTGTTTTGTGTACAGTAAAATGTTAGTTTTCCAAGTTGAGGCCTCCTGGGGCAATGCCTTTATCCTTCAGGATTGACTGTTCAGCTTTTTGAGGACTTTGAAATCCTAAAACCCCACTGCACAGCTTGGCCAACTACGTATACCCCTTAAAAACAGCCTTGGGCGCCACCCTCCAAAACAGACTGGGGACAGTGTGGGATGAAAGACAGCCAACCCTTCAAGAGAGCTGAACAGAAACAGGAAGTGAGGGTGGTGCAGTAGGGCAAGCCTCTGGCTTCCAAATCAGTCTGCCCTGGTCCCACTCAAGTCCTAGAGGGACACTCACCAGCTGTCAGGACCTGTACTTTCCACGGGTGAGCAGCCAGGGCCCGCTGGTATGCCCGCCAGAGTGCCATGCTTCCTGTCAAGCCAAGAGGAGAGGGGGGTCACCCCTACTGTCCCTCTCCACGACTAAGAAGTCGCCTGACATTCCCTTGTGCCCACTCCCTTCCCCTTCCCACTTCCAGTGTGACTTAAAGTGACAGAGGTCACATGAGGGATGCTTCCCAGACAGCTTCCTGTGGCAGGAGTCGGCTTAGACAATTGGGGAAGAGAGAAAGGCTGTGGAAGCTATGGCCTCCTGGTAGCAGCCACAAGCCACCTCAGTCCTGAAGCCGGACCACCTGGAGGCCTCCGTTCCCGACCGAGACAAGCATGAGGACAGCTTTGCTCTAGCTTCTACCCAGAGCTTGGGTGCCTCAAAAGATAGCTTGGTCCGTCTCAGATTCAGACTTGGTTGGAAACAGTTTGTAACCTTCCTGAGTCCAGCTCCAGACCAAAAACAGGGCCCGTCACTGCCCGGATATAGGATGACCACACGCTTTGTGGGCACTCATGGCTTGCGACGCTTTGAGCCAGAGACCGCAGATCACCCGCCACTCACCTGAGCGCGAGCTGGGCGCGGAGACTCCCTCCAACCTGACAGGCTGGCCTAGGAACTTCCGCCACAAGCCCCGCCCCTTCCGCCCAGCGTCCTTCGGATTTTGCAGCCAGGGTAGAAATGAGAGGACCGAGCCGTGAATACCCGTGGAGAGCGACCCCTTTTCCAGCGGGACTGTGCCGGACCCTGGTGTGGGGCCCGCCAGCCATATTTCTCACCTGAGTTGGACCCTCTGCCTCCTCCTGCCCCTTCTCTCCCCTCGAGGCCCAGGCCTCTCTCAATCCGGTAGTCTCATTGTTCAGCCCACCCTCCGCCCATAACTGGCCATAACTACGATCCTTATCTCAGCAATCGTAGTTAGGGAACTATAAGTTATGGTTAAGTGCGTGTTTTGTCTCTAGGTTCTTCATTGGCCTCAACTGTGAGCTCATGAGCGGGTACAACTTGGGTCGTTTATATTTGTCGTCCTCATAGCAACTATTTCAGTGCTTTGCCGCAAACAGCCACTTAAGAAATACTGCATATGTATGATTCTTCCACAGAAAGCATTGGAATTAGAACTTCAGAAGACATTAGGTATTGGCTCCCAAACTAACGGGCTGCATGTGCAGCCTTAGTCATGACTAGACTTGATCTGCATCTAATGAGGGAGGTTACACTATTGACTTTCAAAATTCGGCTCCTCAGTTCTAGAGATTTTTCAGATGTTTGTGTGTGGGAATGAGAGGGGCAGCATTATTACAGCTGCTTCTCCAACTTTTTTTTTTTTTTTTTTTTAAGTATATACTTCTCAAAAGACCCATTTTTAACAATGGGGCCCACAACTGCATATTTGAAAACCAAAGCTAGGTGATTTCTTAATCCCCTTCCAGCTCCAACAGAGTCTGTGAATATACAGCAATATCCTTTCTAGAGCGTTGGAAATGTCTACAATATCCCTGGCAATGGACTTGTCAGGCTGCAGACTTTACTTATCTCCAGGGAGCCCACACGTCAGGAGGCACACTCTTTCAGGCTCTCCACCTGCCCAGCTCCACCCCCAATTTACTCAATTCCTTTATGATTAAGGCAGGGAGACTCCTGCCACAAATCCTGGAGAAACAGAGTAGGGAAGCAAGAGACGTCAGTGTCACAAACATTTAACTAAAACACTACTTGCAAAACAGCATGCTAGAGGAGTTAATTGGCACAAGTAAATGTAATAGGAGACCAAATGTGGCAGGCTGTAAAGTTATATTCTGAAGTTATACTGAGTTCAAATCCCCAGCACCACCACTTACTAGTTATGTGACCTTGACCTTTTACAGACAGCCTACCCTCTCCAACTCTTTTATCATTAAAATGGCAATACCTACCTTACAAAAGTGACATATGCAAAGTGCTCAAAATGGATCAAGTGCTTAATGCTTGTTTATCCTTTTTCCTTCCTTCCCACTTGGGAACACAAGGAAGGGAGGCTATTTTTTACTGGAGAAAACTGGGAAGCTCTTTGGTGAAGGTGGAATTTGAGCTGGGACCTTTCTGAAGGATGAATTGAACTCAGATGAAGATGGTGGAAAAAGACACTCTGGCGAAGGGAGGAGTATGAGAAGAGGAATAAAGGTAGAGAAGTGTATGAACAATGGATAGTATGAAGTGGATATATTGGCAGGTAGGGTTAGAAAGAGAAAAAGCTTCTGGTAGAGAAAAAGAACAAGGTCAAGATCAGGGCTGAGACTCAGTTGCAGAAGCAGGGCTGCCAGCACCAACCTACAGCCTCAAGTGCGGATCCCCAGGTCTCATCTTTTCTACCACTGAAAATAGGAAGGGGGCTGCCCTGTAGAATTGAGTAAAGCTTCTCTTCAACAGAAGGCACTTGCCTAACAGCTCAAAAAACAAAACTGGCTCAATGTGAGCTGGATCCCAATAGGGTTGCGCAACACTTGGCTTCTTTGCACTGACATAGGTTGTGGTTTCTCTGCTGTTGATGGACTTGGGTTTCCTCCAGGTCTGTTTTCTCATCTGTACAGGATGGGGTCTCGCTCCATCACCCAGGCTGGAGTGCAGTGGCAGGATCTCGGCTCACTGCAACCTCCACCTCCCAGGTTCAAGTGATTCTTCTGCCTCAGCCTCCCGAGTAGCTGGGATTACAGGTGTGCACCACTACACCTGGCTAATTTTTTATATTTTTGGTAGAGACAGGGTTTCACCATGTGTTGGCCAGGCTGGTCTCTAACTCCTGACCCTAAGTGATCTGCCTGCCTTATCTCCCAAAGTGTTGGGATTACAGGCATGAGCCACCACACCTGACCGGGACTTAACTTGATCCCTTCTTAAAGGAGGTTTTCTGATAGATGAAGTCCCTACACTACTTATTTGGCCAGTCTAGAATGCCAGAGTGTTTTGTTCCAGGTAGGCACTGGTCTCATCTCCACTTTCTCCAAAAAGCAGCTGCCTGTTTTATTTCTATTTCCTGAGGTCATCCAACTATTTCCCTCCAAACCCCAGCCTACACTCCTAGGCATTTCAAGACCATGGTTTGCCTATTTCTCATCACTGGGGTGTGTCCTTGCTTAGGAGGCAGTATCATAGTCACTGTGAGTCTGCAGCATCCCACAAGAAGCCTCTAACAAGATGAGATATAACATTACTGTACTTGGGTTCTGAACACCTCCTACACACAGAACTGAAGTAGGTAAACATTCTAGTAAGTCAACAATGTGACAGTATAATGAAGGATCAAAAATCATGACGTGTAAAAGAATGGTTGAAGTAACTGAAGATATTTAATCTAGAGAAGATTTGGGAAACACATGATAGGTATGGTTAAATACTTAACAGGGCAATCACAGGGAAGATGACTGGATTTCCTTACACCCATGAGTGAAATTTATAGAAGTATACTCTGACTTGATATAAAGGAAGATTTTAAAAAACATGACTGTTCAGGAGTGTTCAAGTAGGGTCAGATGACCAGTGATTGGGAATACTTCGTAAGCAGGAGCAAGTAAGATCTGAGCCACTGTTCTATCAGTAGGGTGTCTGTGGTGTTCCTTGGTCAAAGAAGTACTCTAAGCAACTTCAGTCTCACAAATTACTATCACCCTTGTGGGCATACATGATGGTTACCCTAAAGAGGAAGTTTCAGAAGGCAGTAATATTGGATCCTGGAATAGTCAGACAGGAGCCTTCATGCATACACCCTTTTCAATTCTCCATACACCCATTCACAAGTGGTCGCAAAAACACCCAGTACCTTTACTTGGCTTTACCCACTTAACAATATGCTCAATATGAGCAGTTTGACTCCCAAGCCTAGGTCAGGCCTGAGTGTTTCTCATGAGCCATAGTCTTAGGCTGAGGAGCCTTGAGAGTTGGTGGAGGGAGAGCCCCCCTGCCCGCAGGGGGCTGTGATCACAGAAGTCTGTAGAAAGAGTGGGATCTAAGGAGTCCTGGGGAGGCAGGCCTAAAGGTCCAGGCCTGGCATGATCACTGTCCAGGGAAGGCCCCCAGTTCCTATGGCTCTGTGCATAGGGGCCATTTGTTCTTGACCGACTTCACTCCAAGGATCAGGTGTGGGCCAAGGCTAGGGAGTGGGCAGAAGGCGATGGCTGGTTGGAGAGAAGCCAGGCCGTCTAGTGGGGGAGGATGGTTGGAACATAGCATTGAAGTGGGCTCGGCTTTCAAGCTGCATACGGTGGCCCAGTGGGGAGGCGAGTCCACGGACAAAATGGATTCGAACCAGCCCTGACTGCCCCCCAGATACCAGCCATCCATAGGAGTCCAGGTTTGGGCTGAAACGTACCTGTGAAGAGAACAGAAAGAGAGAGATCCTTATGGGTGGTGCTTTAGGGTGACTCTAGCTATATGAACAAAAAAAATGAGCCACAATCTGAAAGGACAGGACCATGAGGGGTGAGACAGGTAAGAACGAGAAGCCAGTGAATGAGGTACATCTGTCATGCTCTGGAGGAGGAGGAGGCTGTCATCTGTGTAACCTTTTCATCTCCCATTTCATCAGCCCCAGGCCCAGAATTGGGGGAAAAGAGTGGAGGGTGGAGAGGATGAAAGACTACCTTATGAATAGCCTCCAGCTGCAGCCTGTCCAGGCAGAGTTGAGAATGCCCCTCTCCCTCCTGCATGCGCAGCATTGGTTCTCTACGGAGCAGATCATGGAATGAACCCTGGGGAAGGGAAATGGAAGAGGAGGGAGAAAGTGAGAGGCTCCTTTTTTTATTTTTATTTACTTATTTTTTTTGAGACAGTCTTGCTCTGTCGCCCAGGCTGGAGTACAGTGGCGTGATCTCGGCAGCTCACTACAATCTCCGCTTCCCGGGTTCAAGCGATTCTCCTGCCTCAGCCTCCTGAGTAGCTGGGATTACAGGTGCCCGCCACCATGCCCGGCTAATTTTTTGTATTTTTAGTAGAGACATGGTTTCGCCATGTTGGTCAGGCTGGTCTTGAACTGCCCATCTCAGCCTCCCAAAGTGCTAGGATTACAGGCATGAGCCACCACGCCTGGCCCTTTTTTTTTTTTTTTTTT